TCTGTTCAGCCTCAAGCAAAGGAGACTGAGGGGGGACATGATCCAGGTCTATAAGATTCTAACAGGTTTGGATGCTGTTCAACCGAATAGTTACTTCAGCATTAGTTCAAATACAAGAACTCGTGGCCATATGTGGAAATTTGCTACTTGTTTTGTGTTTAGGGTTCAGTTGACTCCACTAGCTATTTAAGTCAGCCTGGTTTCAGTTCTGAACTTGGGCTCTGCTCTTTGGGCGCAGATGAGTTGTGGTATCAGTGCAGCCACAGAGAGCTGGAACTGAGAATTCATGTCAGTTAGAGTGACTCTTGCCCTCACAGAAGAACAGGCCCTATTACTGTAGCAGCTCATGGTTCTGTTTGCTAATGCATCTTGTGGTAGAGATAGGGCTGCTGCCTCCAAGCTTCCTCTCTGATATTTGGAAAAGCCATAGTGCACGAAAAGTGGTCACTCATCTCACCCCTGTTTTTATTCCATCTTTCTGGTAAACAGATATCAGGTGTGACAGCATTGAATTAAAAAGAAAACCAAAAACCTGTACAGAAGCACAACCTTATCACAGTCGCAATCAGTCATTTTTGGACGAGAATCTCTGTCATCATTATTTTTCTTGTAGTGTTAGTGTCTATTCATAGCACAGTGTATAGAACACTTGGGGTGGGGGGTTTACACACCCACCTTCCTGGAATAATGACTTTGCATATCCACCTTGCAGTCCACTCATTAGTTTCTCATTCCTCATTTGAGTACTTGTCCGTATTTCTCCCAGGAAAACTTTGACTTTTTCATTGTCCTGACTGGATTACACACAGGTCTCTGTGAAGCTATTAGTCTTATTTGGAAACATTGTCTTAACTTATTGCAGCGTGTAATCTTGGCTTGTAAGCATGCTTTTGCCCTTTAGTATTTAAATTTTTTGAGGTGGAGAAACAAAGGAGGTGTTGCAATTAATAATGATGAAATAAGCATTTTCTTTGCAGGATACCCAGTCGTTATCTAGTTAATGTGTTCAACTGTTACAGCCTAAAATGATTGGCTTTCCATCAGACACACCCCACTCTGAGTGCCTATGTTTAAAAAAAAATCTAGCAGTCCCAAAATGAGATTTAAAAATTGTGTTGAAGTTTTGCTCTGCTTTTGGCCAGCGGAAGAGAAACTCCTTTATCTTGTGCTGTATTTGTGTATGTTAGCCAGCTATTACACCTTTTGGGATTCACAGAAGAATGGGAATTTGGGCCACGTCATATTTAGGGACTCAATTCTATAGGTTCTTTTCTTAAAAACCTAGTAGTAGATTTTGTTTTTCATGCCTAGTTTTGCTAGAGATTAGTCAGGAAACCCCTTTTAAGGAAACCCTTAATGCTTTCCTGGTCATTCTCAGCAAACCAAGCTAACAAGCGTGGTCATGGGTCTTTGGTGGCCATGGTTACCATGGTGACAGTATTGGCACCATGTCGCCAGTGGCCAGATGTTAGCCATTGCAAATGCAGCCCCAGGGTGGCTGATATTCAGAACAAGAGCAAACTGGGAGGAAAGGAGAGGTCTCTCTCCCTGTGTCTGCTCAGGGATCCTGTACGGTGACTTTGTCCAGAGCTGTGCTCTCATAGTACAGGGAGAGTTTGCTTCAAAGTTTTATTTTTTTGAAAATGGTCATATTAGTAAAAATTTGTAAAAAAAAAAAAAAAAGATTTGTAGCCTTTCCTTTTGTAATATAAAACGTTCTGTGCCATACTGGGTCATCCAAGATGGTTTTTTTCCCCCCAAAATAAAGTTAAAATGGTGTCATGTCTAAACTGAGTGTTTTTCTTGTTTGAAATAAAGCCAATCAGTGAGATTATATTCTGCATAAACAAATCCTGGTCAACTTTTTATTTATTTATTTAATTCATTTATTATTTTCATTTTATTCATTTTTTAAATCTGAAAATAACAGAAATTATTGTTTCAAATGCTTTGTATTTATGAACAAAACTATCCTCTGAATGTATGATTGTAGGGTAGGGTAAACATGCCTATATTACATATTTTACTGCTTTAACTTTGTTCCTCTGCACTTAAGGTCGGATGAAAGCTTTCTACCTTCCAGTTCATCCCACGCATTTTCCACCACTTCCTACATTTCACCATCCCATAATGATTTCCTGAGAAGCACGTAGGAGGCCCCCACACACCACTGCAGTCTTAATATTCCAGCGCCCCTTTTCAAATGACAGCAAGACATAATAGGAGTCAGCTGTAATTGGAGGCCTCTTCTTTCATCCGCGCGTAACAGGACTGTGCTATAAACACTCCCAGCTGTTCGCCCCACACATCTGGAGCGTTTTCTTCAGCCCGTACTTTGCCTCCGCCTTACTGGAGCCTCTGCTCTGCCCCAGCTTTGATGGCTCTCATCACTCCATAGCAGGAAGATGGAATGATGGGATGGAGAAGGGGTCCACTGCCTCTGCAGGCACTCTCCAGGGCATCAGAGCCATTTGCTGCTCAAAGTGTTAGACACATCACACTGGCCCTCTTAGCAATATAAAGCATACTGGGACATGTCAGTCAATATTTAAGTGAGGTGTACGTATACATGTATATTACATTTAAAATATGTGTGTATATTCCGTAATACAGCACTGTTGAATTCTCAAATCTGTTCGATTAATTTTCTATAACCACACAGGTGAATCACTGTAGTAGAGGTGTGATTATAATATTTAATTCTAACTAACATTACAAATGTAGAACACGATTTTAAATAAACAAAAGGTAAACAGAAATGTGAAATATAATAGAATGTCTTTTACTGTCATTGCATGAAGAATGTATTTCTACTAATAAATGAATTTTCAGCTTGTAAAAATTAAAATGATGTCTTTAGGTACAAACGTGTTTGCCAAACGAATAGTGACTGTGGTATAAACAGGTTACATATGGTCATGCATTAACCCTTA